CTTATGCCATTGTCTTTTTAAAATATTTTACATAATTTATTTTTCTGTTCACACTTATAACTCCATTCCACATCCCCATCCCTCAGGAGTATATTCTAATTTAATGTATTTTTATGTTTGTATGTGTGTGGGGTTTTTGTTGTACCATTGTCTTTTAAGTCAGAAGAAAAACATTACAAATGAAAATGCAATCGTATTGTCATTTATATACCTATGTAGTTACCTTTAATAGTACTCTTGATTTCTTTCTGTGGATTCAAGTTACCATGTAGAGTCCTTTCATTTCAGCCTGAAGAACTCCCTTTAATATTTCTTGTAGGGAAGGTCTGGTGCTGAAATATCAGTAGGTAGGTCTAGTAATGGAATATCAGTTTGTTTGTTTTTTAAAACTTGGAATGCCTTAATTTCTCCTTAATTTTCAAGGATAGTTTTGCTGGACAGAGAATTCTTGCTTGGCAATCTTTTTCTTTCAGCAGTTTGATTAGTCATTCCACTGTCTTTCAGCCTCTGTGGTTTCTGATGAGAAGTTAGCTTCTCATAATCTCATCAGTCTTATTACTGATCACTTGTATGTGATTTTTCTCTTACTGCTTTCAAGTTTCTCTCTTTGTCTTTGACTTTTATCAATTGACTATGACATGTCTAGGTGTGGATCTCATTGCATTTATCCTATCTGAAGTTCATTGAGCTTCTTGAATATGTAGATGGGTGTTGTATTTTTTTAACCAAATTTGGGACTTTGGATTATTATTTCTCTTCTGCTTTCTTTCTCTCTTCTCCTTCAGGGACTACCATTATGCATGTGTTGATACACTTGATGATGTCACATGTGTCTTTGGGCTCTGTTCATTTTGCTTCATTTAAAAAAAATTTTTTTTAGTCTTCAGACTGGAAAATCTCAGTTTAAGTTCAAGTTTGCTGATTCTTTCCTCTGTCAGCTCAAATCAGCTGTTGACCCCCTCTAGTGAATTTTTCATTTCAGTTACTGTACTTTTCAAGTTGAGAATTTCTATTTGGCTCTTGTGTGTGTGTGTGTGTGCACGCGTGTGTATGTGTTAAAATATACATAACATAAAAATCACAATTTTACCCATCTTTTTTGGTAGCAAGTATAAATTTATTATACATATCTTTATTAGAATTTGGTTTTATTGTGGTAAAATATACATAACATAAAACTTACCATTATAACCATTTTAAGTGTACATATTGTTGGCATTAAGTACATTCACATTGTTGTGCAGCCATCACTACCATTTATCTCCAGAAAACAATAACTCTCCATTCCTCCCTCTCTTCAGATCCTGGTAACCACCATTCTACTTTCTGTCTCTATGAATTTGATTACTCTAGGTATCTCACATAAGTTGAATCATACAACATTTATCTTTTTCTGTCTGGCTTATTTCATTTAGCATAATGTCTTCAGAGTTTATCCATGCTACAGTATTTGTCAGAATTTCCTTCCTTTCTAAGGCTGAATAATATTCCATTGTACATACATTTTGTTCATCCCTTCATCCATTGATGGACATTTGGGTTGTTTCCAGCATTTGACTATTGTGAATAATACTGCTATGAACATAGGTGTACGAGTATCTGTTCAAGTCCCAGCTTTCAATTATTTTTGGTATATACCCATAAGTGGAATTGCTGGATCATATAGTAATTCTATTTTTTTTTCTCTTACTGCTTTCCACAGCAGCTGCACCATTTTACATTCCCACCAGCAGTGCACAAGAGTTCTGATTTCTCCTCATCTTGGCCAATGCTTATTATTTTCTGTTTTGTGATTTTTTGGTTTTGGTTTTAAAAAAAAAATAACCATCCTAATGGTTGTAATGTCTGAAGTAATGTCTCTTTGTGGTTTTGATTTGCATTTCCCTAATGATTAATGATATTGAACATCTTTTCATGTGCTTATTGACCATTTATATATCTTCTTTGCAGAAATGTCAATTCCTTTGTCCATTTTTGAATTGGGTTGTTTGTTTTTTTGTTGTTGTTGTTGGGTTTTAGGAGTTCTTTATATACTCTGGATATTAATCTCTTATCAGCTATGTGATTTGCAAATATTTTTCCTATTCTATAGGTTGTCTTTTCATTCTGTTGATAGTATCCTTTGATGTACAAAAGTCTTTAATTTTGAAGTCCAATTTGTCTATTTTTCCTTTGTTGCCTGTGCTTTGATGTCAATCTAATGCCATTAAGATTTCCTCCCATGTTTTCTTCTAAGAGTTTTAGAGTTTTAGCTCTTATGTTTTGGTCTTTGATCAATTTTGAGTTAATTTTTTATATGGTGTTAGGTAAGGGTCCAATTTCATTCTTTCACACATGGATATCCAGTTTTCCTGGCACCATTTCTTGAAAAGACTGTCTTTTCCCTACTGAATGGTTTTAGCATCTTTGTCAAAAATCATTTGGCCATATACACTAGGGTTTATTTCTGGGCTCTCTATTCTATTCCATTAGTCCATATGTCTGTCCTTATGCCAGTATTCCACTGTTTTGGTTACTATAGCTTTGTAGTAAGGTATGAAATCAGGAAGTGTAAGTACTCTGAATTTGTTCTTCTTTTTCAAGAGTATTTTGGCTATTTGAGCTCCCTGAACTTGCAATGAACTTTAAGATGCTTTTCCTATTTCTGAAAAAAACAAAACAAAACAAACAAACAGAAAAACACTGTTGGGATTTTGACAGAGATTGCATTGAATCTGTAGATCTCTTAGGGTAAATATTGTCATCTTAAGAATATTAAGTCTTTCAATCCACGAACATGGGATATTTTTCACTTTACATGTCTTCTTTCATTTATTTCAGCAACATTTGTAGTTTTCGGTGTATGAGAATTTTGCCTCCTTGCTTAAGTTTATTCCCAAGTATTTTATCCTTTTTGATGCTATTGTTAATGGAATTGTTCCCTAAATTTCCTTTTTGGATTGTTCATTGTTAATGTATAGACACACAATTGATTTTTTGTTGTTGTTGATTTTGTATCCTGCAATTTCGCTGAATTTATTTATTAGTTCTAACAACTTTTTGTGGAATCTTTAGGGTTTTCTACATATAAGATCATGTCATCTGCAAACAGAAATAATTTGACTTCTTCCTTTTCAATTTGGATGCCCTTTAATTCTTTAGGCATGATTTCCTCCAGTTTTTAAGAAACATACTCCTATATTAACCTTATATTCTGCAACCTTGTTATAATTGCTTATTAGTTCCAGGAGTCTTTGTTGATTCTTTAGGATTTTCTATGTGGACAATTATATCACCTGTGAACAAAGACTTTTTATTTCTTCCTTGCCAATATGTATACTTTTTTTGGTCTTATAGCATTAGCTAAGTCTTCCAGTACAATGTTGAATGGGAGTGGTGAGAGCAGACATCCTTGCCTGTTCCTGATATTAGGGGGAAAGCATCTAGTTTCTCATCATTAATTATGATGTTAGCTGTAAGTTTTTTGTAGATGTTCTTTATCAAGAGAGTTTTTATCATTAATTGATCAAGTGCTTTTTCTGCATCTGTTGATATGATCATATAATTTTTCTTCTTTAGCCTGTTGGTGTGATAGATTACATTAACTGATTTTTTAAAAAAATATTTGTTTATTTATTTGGCTGTGTCAGGTCTTAGTTGTGACACGAGATCTTAGTTGTGGCATGTGGGATCTTTCGTTGTGGCATGTGGGCTCTCTAGTTGTGGCACGCAGGCTCTAGAGCACACATGCTTAGTTGCCCTGCGGCATGTGGGATCTTAGTTCCCCGACCAGGGATTGAACCTGTGTCCCCTCCATTGGAAGGTAGATTCTTAACCACTGGACCCCCAGGGAAGTCTTTACATTAACTGATTTTTGAGGAGCATATTTTGTAATAGCTGATTTAAAGTCTTTGCCTGGTAAGTCCAACCTCTTCTTCAGGGACAGTTTCTTTTGGCTACTTTTCCTGTGTATGGGCAATACATTTTTACTTTGTATGTATCATAATTTTTTGTAGAAAACTTGACATTTCAATACTATAATGTGGCAACTCTGGAAATCAGTTTCTCCCCTCTCCTCAGGGTTTGGTTTCGTTACTGCTTGTTTTAGTTGTTGTTGTTTGCCTATTTAGTGACTTTTCCTAACTAATTCTGTAAAGTACATTTTCTGTCATATGTGGCTCCTGAAGTGAATGCTTGGTTAGCTTAGTGGTCACTAATGACTGAACAGAAATTTCCTTAAATACTTTGAATGAGTGATCATCAACCCTTTTATGAGAGCCTGTGTGTGTGTGTTTGTGCGTGTGTGCATGTGCGTGTGTGTGTCGGGTTACTCCTTCAATGCTCTAGCAGTTTGCAATTCTGCCTTTTCCATCACTTTCTACCTCCACCAAGCCCCAATGTCAGCCAGACGTGAAAAAGTAGGGCCTTTTCAGGTGTATTTGGTGCATGCACACAGCCCTGCAAATGCAAGTGGCCTCCTAGATCTTCAGGAATATGACATGTCAGAGCATTTCAAAGCCCCCTATTAACTTCTCATTCCCCAGCTCTTCCTTTTAAGTTTTTTGACCAGATAGTCTCTTCTTTCCCCCAATTGGTACTGCTGCTGTGGTATTAAACAATTGTTACTGGTTGTTTTCAATAAATGCTCTAGGGGTAGGATCTTTCCCACTGAGTGGACTCTGAGCCAGGTCAAATAAAAACTCTGTGAATGATACTTTTCCAAGGAGCTGCTAGACAGGTCAAGTAGTGACAATTCTCTAGGAATTGGGCTTTTTGAGGATCTTCAAACCTGGTATGCTCCCTCTGGGTGTTGCTAGACTACTGGTTTTCCAGGCTACTATGGAACTTGGGAGAAAGAGATGGGAATAGGACAAGTCCAAACCTCACAAATCTCACTCTTCTTACCAAGAATCAGCAGTTGTTTTTTTTTTTTTTTTCAAATAATGCTCCTCATATCATTGCAAACTTTTGGTTACTTTCCAAGTTTCTGGAAAAGTTGATTTTAACCATTTGTTCTGGAGTTCTTACTGCTTTTAAGGAGTAGCAGATTTTTGGAGGCCCTTACCCCACCATTCCTGATGTCCTGCTCTGAATGACTCTGGATAGACAGACGTCTGTGAACGAAGCAACAGCACGCGCAAAAGATGGAGATATGAATGTTCATGACTTATTTAAGACTAGCAAGTGACCCTGAGTGACTGGACCATATGGAAGGTGAGGAGGAAGTATATTATTCACAGCATTCTTCATGTTGCATGTAACTCAAATCCAACTGACATAGGCATCAGGTTTTTAAAAGAAGGATATTAATCAGCTCACAAAGTTGATAAGGTCATGGGTAGGTCTAGCTTCAGGCACAGCTGGATCTGGAGACTCATGCAATCATTAAGACTCAGTCTTGTGCTCTTGTTCTCTCAGTTCTGCTCTCTTGTGGTTACTAGATGGTGGCCAACAGGTCCAAGTTAACACCCTCAAACTCCAAATTCAATGTAAAGAGAAAAGATCTCTTCCCAACAATTCTTTCAAAAGTCCCAGAACTAAGTTTCTAAATTAATTGTGCCCACCTGTAAACTAATTTCTATGCCAAGGGACATGGAGCGAGGTCTGAATCACGTGCTCTTCCCTTGAGCCAAGAGTGGAGTCAGCCTCTAACTGAACCACAGAGACTGAGAATGGGAGTGAGGTAGTTCCTTAAGGAATATATAGATTATCTTACCGGAAGCTGGATAATTTACTGTATAGCACAAGGAACAGGGAACTATATTCAATATCTTTTTTTTTTTTTTTTTTTTTTTGCGGTACATGGGCCTCTCACTGTTGTCGCCTCTCCCGTTGTGGAGCACAGGCTCCGGATGCGCAGGATCAGCGGCCATGGCTCACGGGCCCAGCCGCTCCGTGGCATGTGGGATCTTCCCAGACCGGGTCATGAACCCGTGTCCCCTGCATCGGCAGGCGGACTCTCAACCACTGCGCCACCAGGGAAGCCCTTCAATATCTTATAATAACTATAATGGAAAAGAATCTGAAAAAGAAAAAAATACATATATATATAACTGAATCACTTTCCTGTATATCTGAAACATTGTAAATCAACTTTATTTCAATAAAGAATAATTTAAAAGTTTTAAAAAGAAGTTGGATAATAAGGGCTAATCAAGAAAAAACAGTAAACATACTCCTTAGGAGGAGTGGTAGAAGCTGAAACTAGGAGACTCTAGAGAGAGCTTGCCATCTCCAGCATCCCCCCACAGCCCTGACAAACCACTCAACAAACATTAGTTGAGGATGTGCTTTGTGCCAGGGTCTGTGCTATGTACTGGGATACCAACCCTCATGGAGGTTCCAGTATAGTTTTAGACACTCTCAACCTACAGCAAGTCTCCTGCTGAGACTTTCCTAAGACATCATTTTGTCCAAATCTTTAATTACCTAGACTAGAAAATTGGTACTCAGCAAATCATTGACAGAGCTGAACCAAAGACCAGGTTGGCCTCGTTGTACTACAGACATGGACCACCTTCATTCTTCAACTTGTCTTTCCAAGCCACCTCTGGGAGCCTTCCCAGAGTCTCCCTACCCCTGCTGGTACCTCCAACAGAATACTAACTGCTCCTGGATTGACTCTAATTAACCCTTTATTTAGGCTCAATGTTGAATTCTTTCCCTTGCTGTCTTGTCTTCTGTCCAGACCCAATATGTCTGCCTCCTGTCTCTACACTATTGGGTATCACATTCCACCTTCTCTTGCTAACCATTAAGGCTCATTTGCAAGTAGCCACTTTTACATGGGACCCTCTGTGGGCAGCCCAGAGGCAACTCTCAGGTATAGTATGAATCAAGGGGTGTTGATCACACCCCACTCTGGGGAGCATGGAAATCCCTCTGATCCCCACTCTCAGGGGAACTCCCTGATGGGCAGAGCTGTCACTCTTCCCACTCCTGACCTAACCAACGAGAAGAGATGTAAAGAAGAGGCCACAGAATCACCCTGGGTGTTACCTGAGTAAACTGTCTCTGTCCTCCTCAGGACCTGGATCTCTCCAGGCCTATCCATCAGTGAGGTCATCTGTGCATGCTCTGCAGCAGGGCAGGGCAGCTCTGGCCCTTTCTTTTATTGATTGATTTCATTGAGCTCTATGAAGCAGCAGTTTTTTTCTGTTTTTCCAAATGCTTTATTCCCAGCATTGAAACCAATGCCTGGTACATATAAGGAGCTTATTAAATATTTGTTGAATAGATAAATGAATGGATAGTCCTGACTAATCAGAATTTTAGACAGTGTTTAGTCATACAAAATCAGAACCAGGAAGTTACTTAGACCACTTCATCTAACTGCCCAATCTCATTTGACAGGTGGGAGACTGAGGCTCAGAGAGGGAAAAGGACTTGCCCAAAGTCACAGAGGGGGTTAGTTTAGTCAGAAATCAGTACTTTAACCCATAGAATCAGGGAACCTTCCATGGGCTGTTTTCTTGGTACCTATTGTCTCCTACAAGGAAGCACACAGCTGAGCCTCTCCCCTCACCCCCATCATCCCCTGCCCTGCCCATCTGTCTACCTCAACTTCCCACTCTGCATCTCGTGGGGTTGGGGTTGGGGTCTGACCCTGAGGCAGTGTTGCTTCAGCTCCATGGGGGCTCCCTTAGGAGTACCCTGCCCTGTGGCTCTTTCTTGGAGGTGGAGGACCAGCTATGGTTGAGGGGAACTATGACTAACTGTGGAAATGAGGAGAAGGGAGTGGTCATGTGGGGTGAGGGGAATAGGGTGGTGATGAGTAGCGGGTATTGACAGCCTACTTCATCCTAGGCATCACACTAGGCATCTCATATTCTCTCACTTATCCTTAACACTTTGAATAAGTAAGTATTCTTTTCCTCATTTTGCAGATAGGAAGCTGGAACTCAGAGAAGACAAGTGACTCGCCTAAGGTCACATAGCCAGTAAGCAGCAGAGCAAGGATTCAGATCCAGGACTGTTGGACACTAGAGTCTGAAGTCTTTCTTTTATGTTGTCTCCAACCATCTCTCAGGAGACTCCAATTCTAGACTGGGTCCCAGTCAGGGGCTCAGAGCTGAAAGCCCCTCTTTCAGACCCTTATGTACATACCCTGCGGGAGCAGCAGGTCTGGACCAGGCCATGGTAGGCATGGAACTCCAGCAGGAATGTCAGCGGACTCCTGTACTGCCTGACCCAGGGCATCCTTTCTCTCTGTCCCAGGCCTGTAGAGCTGGGCTTATTTTCAGGGCTGGATGAGTGGATTTTTCCCAATGGAGTGTGGATAGTCCACAGTTGGGACAAATGGAGGCCCCTCCCTCCCATAGGAGAAAAGGGGAAAGGGGGAAGGGGAGCAGAGCAGCCTTCCAGAAGGGATAGCTTTGCTGAGTTTCAGCCTAATATCCTGGAGCTATTCCTAGGTAGATTGTGGTCAGTGGAATTATGCTTTTATCAGGCTGCTGGGAGTTTCAATAAAATCTTTATGGCCTGGAAAGTTCTCTTTATGGAAATCAGATTATTGAGGTGCCTGCTGGGGGGAGGGCTTCACCAGCCTGCCTTGCTCCCCACTGCCTCCCTCCTTCCCTTCAGAACAGCTCCCCCACTCAGCTCCTTTCCTCCCCTCCCCACAAGCCCCCAGCTCCCAGGGACATTTGAGCTCCTCACACCGAGACATGAAGAGGGCTTTGGCAGGTAGAGGGGCACTGAGAGGGCGCATCAAAGGTGCTAGTGGGACTGCAAAATTAATGCTGCAAAATAGCCCACTCCCATTCTCCCACCGTCACCCCCGTTGAAGAGCCCTGGTTTTGCCATTTCTGGGTCAATCTTCCTCTGCTCTTGGCTCCCTCTGTTGGCAGACCCAAGATTCTGGGCCTTAGCACACAGCTGAGCCACTCCCCCCATCCCCCCCCCCATCCCCAGCCCTGCCCATCTGTCTAGAGAGCCTTCCTGCCCGGCACCTTGTGGGGCCTGAGTTTGGGTTGAACCCCAAGGCAGTGTTGCTCCAGCTCTAGGGGAGCTTTCTTGAGAGTGCCCTGCCCTGTGGCTCTTTCTTGGGGGTGGAGGAGCAACTATAGTTGAGGCCCCCCCCACTCCACCCCATAAACTGCCTGCTTGGGGAGGGCCTGCCCTAGGAGGTTTTCCTTGTGGCTTTCTAGGAGGTTTTAATTTAGCAAAAGGAAAGTGGTTTGGGCCGAATGGTCTCTTTCAGGGCTAGAGTCTTTAAAAAGCCCTCTGAAATGTGGTGCTTTTGCCTACCGAAGCTCTCTCACTGCCTGCATCCCAGCATCCTCCCTGGGAGATCTTCCATTAAGTTTCTAATTCAAGAGGCATCCTGTCCTCCGAGGAATGATTGAAGGACCTGGAAAAGAGAAGACTGAAGGGGCCAGAGGCTTTGTGTTCAGCCCTTTGACGGGCTGTCATGGGACAGAGGAAGCCGATGTGTTCTGTGTGGTTCCAGCAGTAGGGCTAAACCATGCCCCTGTTGGTCTTTTTACCCTATTATCATCTGGAATCATCCAAACAACAATATGAGGTGAGGAGTATTGTCCCCAGTTTACAGATGAGGAAACTAAGACCCAGGTCCACACAGCTAGGAAGGGGCGGGGCTGCCTTTCAAAGCCAGGTCATCTGACATCAAATCTAGCATTCTCCACATCCTGACCAATGGACAGAGGCAACAAGTAGGCAGCATTGAGTTCTGCGTAGGCGGCCCTTTGGAGCCACCCCAGCCAGCAGCCCCAACGCCACCCATGCACCGATTTCAGCAACTGCCTGGAACCCACTCCCTGTTGGATCCCATCTCTCTTCCACCCCGACCCTGCTCTAGACCTGTACCCCAGCTTCGCATCTGCCCCTGGCATTTCTCTTTGCCTGGGGCCAACACTCATTCTCCCCAGTGGACTTGCCCTCAGACTTTCCTCACTTTAGACCTCTCAGAACCGAACAGCCCAGGTAGTTTGCCTTGTGCTCCCATCCTGTCCACTCTCGCCCTCTTGATTTGACAATAAGGAAGAACTTTCTAACAGAGCTGTCCAAGGATGGACAGGTGGGGCTGGTTGCTCAGGGCCCAGGCATTGGGTTGGGGTCTGTCCGAGCTGGGAATCCTTCCAGTGATTTCTCTTGAGTTAGGCATGCATTTTTCTGTGAGCCCTTCTATGACTGTGTCCAGGTTTTACACTCACCCTCTTGTTTCCCATTCTTTCTCTCTCTCCCAACCTCAGTCTCTCTTTTTTTGCCCTTTTCTATGTGTTCTTTTCTCTTATTCTCTCTTTATCTTTCTCTGTGCATTTTTACCTCTCCCTCCTTCTCTGCACCTCTCCGTTTCTGCTTCTGCTTTTCTGTTTGTCTTCCTTCCCTTAATCCCAGTCTCTCTCTGTCTCTCCTCTCCCTCTCCTGCCCTCCCTCTCTCATACTTATCTCTCTCTTTCACTGTCTCTCTAGCTCAGTCTTCCATCTCTTTCACTTTTACTCTAGGTCCCACTGTATTCTCCTCTCTCTCTCTGTCTCTCTCATATTTTTCCATTTCTCTGACTTTGCCTCCCCTGCCCCAACCCTTCCCTTCAGAGCCTCCCCTGACTGAGGGCCTGCTCTATTTGCCACAGCCTGCCTTCCTCAGCTCTCTTCCAAAGAACCACCTATGTCTTCTGTGTTTCTCCAGTCTCAAGCTGTGACGTCTGTGGCAGCTGACACTGGGGAGCTGGACGTGAGCAAGATCATCTTGGCGCCTGGGAAGCTACAGGAAACCTTGGGCCCTGCAACTTCTCTCCAAAAAGGAAGAAGTGATATCTTAGCTTCCTTCAGGCCCCAGCTGGAGCGAGCTTCTGGTTGTCTCAGAGCCTGAAGGATTCAGGAATGAGTCATTGACACTTAAGAAGCCCTGTCTTTGTGTCCAGCTCCACCGTAGACACTCTTTGTCCATGTTTGGAAGCCACTCCTCCCTTTTGAAACTCACTTCAGTTCTGGCCTCCCCCTCATTCCAGAACAGCTTGAAGTCTGCTCCTGAAGGAGCAGAGAGAAGCTCAGTGTTGCTGGAGTCTACAGTCGGGGATGGCTACTTGGGTGGGGGATAGGAGGAGATGTCAAGGGATGAGACTGGAGAGGTAGCCTGGGGCCAGGCCAGGTAAGGAGTTTGGACTGTATCTTGAGGCTGCTGGGAGATATTGAAAGTTCTTAAGCAGGAGAAAGGAGATCTATCTGTAATTTACAAGATCACTCTGGCCACTGGGAGGATTCTGGATTATAGAGGAGCAAGAGTAGAAGCAGGGAGACTGTTGAAAAGGATGTTGTGTAGTCTAAGTAAGAGGCAATGGAGGCTTGGACCAGGGTGGCGGCAGTGAATATGGAGCGAAGCGGACTTTTTCTGGTATATCTAGAATATAGCAGCAATGGGGCTTGGGGGTTGATCGGTTGGAGGCATGGTAGAGAGGGAGGTGTGAAAGCAAATTCTGGCTTGCACAATTGGGTGGCTAGTGATTCCTGTCATTGGCGCAGAAATCACAAGAGAAGGAACAGTGTGCAGATTAGTTGAGTTCTAGATTGGCCATGTGGAATTTGAAGTGCTCGCGGACCATCCAGATTGAGAGAGCGGTCAGGCGGTGGCAGATCCTGTAGCTCAGAAGGTAAGTCTGGAAGGGGCTAGAGATGTGAGGGATACAAGCAAAGAGACAGGCAGTAAAGCCACGGGAGTGGGTGAGCTGGCCCTGAGCAAGGACAGAGCATAAGAGGAGAGGGCTAAGGTTAGGGTCTGGGGAGACTTCTGGAATGAGTACAGCAAGAGAAAATCTGTCAAGAAGACTGAGCAGCGTTGGATCAGAGAGGCAAGAGGACATTTAGAGAATGCAGGGGCAGAGAAGCCAAGGGAAGAGAGTGTCCCCCAAAGGAGAGGCTGACCAACTGTGTCAAATGTGAAGTCAAATATAAGGAGAAGAAAGTGTCCAGCAGATTTGTGATTAGAAGTTCTTTGGTGACTTTCGTAAGAGAATTTTTCAGCAGCGATGGGCATGGTGATTGGACTGCAGTAGTTGAAAGGTGGGGACAGCTGAGTGTGTCTGCCCTAAATTCTGCCCACATTCCACTTCTCTATTTAGGATTGAAGAGGACCCAGCAAGCTTCCATTGCTTTCCACGATACTCAGGTCTCCTGCTCCCTCCCCCATTCCTCTACACACACACACACACACACACACACACTTCCTTGCTTCTTTTTGCTTCAGCAGACTGAATTCTAGGGCTTCACACCACCCCTTTCCCACTTCAGACTCAGAAATAAATTGCTCACTGCCCCAATGGTGAAACCTTATCTGGTCTGGTAAAAATGTGTGTCTGGAGCAGCTGAACTCCACGTTTCAGCCAAGGGGGTGAGCTGGCCACTGGCTGGCTTGCCTGAAGCCCGGAGTGGGGGCAGTGGTGGGAGATGGAGAGGAAGACACAAAGCAGAGACTAAGATAGGTGTGAGGAAGCGGGAAGGGGAGGGTAATGAGGAAAGAGGATGGGGAAGTGGGAATGCCATAACTGTAAACACTTTCTGGAGTCACAGATTTGCATTTAAATCTTGGCTTCACTACTTCCTACCTCTGTGGCAAGTAATTTTCTTCTCTGAGCCTCAATTTGCTCATCTACAAAATGGATTTAATAATAATAATAATACCTACCTCACTGGTACTCTTCATTAGGCAGAATATCTTCTTATTATGACTATCATTCTTATTCTTATTTCAGGATGGATCTGGTGTTGGGAGAAGGCCAGGCAGCTCTCTGGGGACCTTGCCTGGGCTAGGGAAGCAACCACCCAGGGAGGGCCTGTAGTCTCTTCTTGGATTTCCAGGGAAGGCTCAAAGGAGTCTAACAGTGGTAGGAAGAGGCAGCAAAGATGTACTGAGTAAGAATCAAAGCATGGTCATTAGGCCCCAAGCTCAGCAGTTCCAGCAGTCCTTTAGCTTTGGACCAGAGACAGCCTCCAGAAGGGAAGGCAGCCCAGCTTCCCTCAACTGCACACCAAGGCTCACCCATTTTCAGGCCTAGCTCTGGTGAACCATGACCATAGCTTTGCACAGAAACCTCCAGCCAGCTGCTTGCCACATGCCGCCTGGGTTTCAGGGTAGAGGGAGCTTCTGACGCCACAGGAGGGCAGGGAGGCCAGAGGAGCTCACTGGACCTCACCCTCGACCCCTTGCCCCCATGAGCTAAATGTAGAGGCCAGTCCTGCATTCAGGCCTAGTGTTGACCATCCCTAGCTTCCCTTGCCCCTGGACCCACAGAATCCTGAGGAAATTCCAATGCATGTCTGCCCCCTGTGCTGACCCCCTCCCCAAATCCTACCCCTAACCTCACCCTTGTACCTTGTCAGGAGGTTTCAGGAAAAGGAGATCTACTGCTGAGGGGATCATGGTTGTTGGAAAAAAAATCCATCACGACTCTGGGGTGGCAGGAAGTGGAGAAATGAGACACACTCTTCAGGTTGGGGGGTGCCACCTCCTCCTGATGGGCATGGCAGGAAATTGGGGCCTGGACCAGTGCAGAAGCCAAGCCAGGAGGATGTCGGGGCTTCTTCAGGGGCTGTGGGCTAGGAGGCAGCAGTGGTAGACCGTATGGATGCAATCAAGCTTGTTATGACCTCATGGGGAGAAGGGGGAACCCCAGAAGGGAGGGCTTTGGGCTTCGTCCTCACCAGTGGGGGAGGGAGAGGATCTGTGTGACGATGATCATGGAGCATTTAGTGGGGTGAGTGAGAAGTATGAAGATGGATGAGTCAGAAGAGATGGGAGAAGCTAAAGGGGCAGCTTCAGGAAAGCAGCCGTCCTCTGTTGACTTGGAGTCAAAGCTTTGGGAGGACCAATCTGGGAATCAGGTGCTGGGGAGGAGCTCCCTGTCCCCCACTTCACAGGTTCCAAGTGTAGCTCTTGCTTGGAAAGGCCGGGGCAGCAGCAGGTGGCGAGTTGGGTTTTAGATGGGTTCTGGTCCTTGCTTATAGCATGAGGTTGGTAAGCCAGGTATCTGGCAAGGCCTCCGGGTGGGAGCCCCACAGGATCCAATGTTGGAAGACTGGGTCCTTATGGATGATCCTTTGAGGAGGTCTTCAGGACAGAGCAGGAAAGGCGGAGTCCACGACTCAGTGCAGGAGGACTGGGAAAGGGCTGAAGGCCAGATCCCATAAGGAGCTGGAGCTTCCTGGCATCAAGCAGAGAGGGCAGGGGAATGTGATCTCTGTTGTAAAAGCTCTGAAGGGCTGTCATGGCCAGAGAGAGCAGAGGGAGCAGATAGTGTCGGTGTGGACTCAGGGGGCAGAGACTCCTGGGAGAAAGTGGCAGGGAGCCAGAGCACTTCCCCTCAATCCAAGAAAGAATTTTCTGAACAGCAATCCACGCTCAAAACTGGGGCGGAGGGAGGTAGTGAGTGTCCCATCACTGGAGGTGTGTAAGCCAGGGCTGGATGACCACTGTGTGGAGATTCAAAGAGTAGATGGGGTGGTCCCTTGGCATCCTCCGGCCACCCTGTCATGACAATCTCTGGCTCCATGACCTAGATGGGTTAACTCTGTGAGATGGAGTCCAAGGAACTAGTGCTCACTCTTAGAGTTCTCTGAGGGGCTGTGACTTGAGTTTGTACCTCCCAGAAACTTAGCTTGGTGCAGTAGTATCATGTGGCCATTTATTACGTGGCTCTGCTAGTCTCTCATTATCTGCCCCACTGGCCTCCAGCCTCTTATGCCATCAACATCTCCCCACGTTGAGCATAGTGGACATGTTTAATGATCCCTTTTTTCATTCCACATGGCTCCTAACAGCTTCATATGTAGCTCAACTCATAAGGCCGTGATTGGTTCCAACTTCATGGTCAATTGAAGGGATTCTCAAGGATGATTTTGACTATCTGCAATTGTGCCTGATAGGCTGACTTGAGATGCTGTGCCCACGTAGAGCACTGCTTCTCTGACTGCTGAATGACGCTCCAAGGCAGAAAGCAGTATGCTGGGGTGGGAATGGTTTGAGGCCTGGACAGAAAGCATGTCTCTCCGGATGCCTGGGGCTTCCATCCCTCTCTTAACACAGGCCAAATCGCCCTCCTGGATTGTCCCTACTCCTTAGCTAGAGATCCTGTTTGCTCTGCCTTCTAAAAAGTCCAGAATCCAAACAGTGTTTTTTACCCCCTCACGACTTCTACCTTGGTTCAAGCCACCGTCACCTCTCATGGGACAATCCCCAGAGCCTCCTTACTTCTTTCTCAGTGTTCACTCCTGCCCTCCATGTTCAACTCACAGTTGCCCTTGTATTTCTGTTAAGACATAAGTCAG